CATTCGGGTACCAAGATAAAATGTTACCCAAAGACATTGACTAAATTACGAAATGATGTCCAAGCCAGAGGGGACCTTTTCCCAGCAAAAAGGGAGTTCTTTCGAACTCCTTGAACCCCCCCTGGCTACAGGCCTGAGTGTATTGAGCATCTCGTCATCAACAATAACATAAGGCAATAGTAAGCAGGTGGTCAAGACTCGTACTGTTGAATGCGGTGGTCATCTCATTCTTGGACACTTTTAACAAGGTGACGTGACGTTATGTCATTGGTCATAGTCATCTCTCGACTACATGGGTGGGAGGGTCAATCATGGCGTCTTCTCTCCAAACAGTCAGGGGGTGGAAACGCGCTACTTATATGATTATGACGAGCCTAGCCGTCAGTACCGGATATTGGTTTGTGACCTTGAGGGGCAATTAGGCTTGNACGATTCCTGTTTTTACCTCGCCTAGATCACTGAGGTCAATTCCTGTGTCTCTGGCTAGATTATCTAAATGTATGTAGGTAATGTCACCAATAGTGTTCACTGAACTTAGATGGCACCAAGGAATTTTGCACCAAGCAGCAATAACGCGTTTTGAGAATATGTACATAACCACAAATACCAGTTCACCGTGTAATAACCGTTTTCCCCACACAATTCTATAGCTGTTGCCCTTAAAAATTTACCCTAAGACCCGTGCATATAACGAGTCCCAGCATACATGTGACTTATTGCGGTTATATCTTAACATTTATAATATATGAACAGGTAAGGGAACTTTGATATGGATACTTAAACACGCTACCTTTTCCCTCGTTGTATTTAAAACGATTTTGACTGAACCTAAAATACATTTTAAAACATCTTGAGAACGATGCCGTTTTCGTGAATGCTGCGCAGGTATGGTATTTCAAGAAAAATATCAGGTCTTGGATAAATATATGTGCCTCTGTCAAAAGTGTATTCAAGGAGTGAAAGATGAAATAAATATTATTTTTTTATGAGTGAAAAGTACATGTTAATTTTGTGAAAAGTACATGTTAATTTGATTTTTTTCTGCCAAAATTAAGTACATTTGCTTGTTGAACACGCATCTTTTTTTTGTAAGTATTTAAAAAACAAATTTAAATTAGTGGTACAAACCTATTCTATCCGTCATTTAAGATCATTTAAACTGCACGTGTGGTTAGATATGTATCCATCAAAACCTCCTTAATATTTTAAGCGCAATCCATTACATCGATCTTGTATCTAAACAACTGGCTTAAAAAGGTAATTAACGAACTCAAGCAGCAAAGAAATTAAATTTAAAAAAACGCACACGACAAAATAGAAATTATAAGAGATAGTCTAAAAGGAATTCTTTAGCACTGTGGGTCGTGATACAAGATTTGAGAACATGTGAGAGTACGCGTGAGGTGGGGTTAAACTTAAAGGGATAAACTTTAAGAGACACACAGAACCTGGTGAATTCTCACTTTTGTGCTGTAGACTGAAATTTGTTAGAACTTAAGAGAAAACAACCAGAGAAAGATCCGCTTATAAATTATTTCGGCCTTTTGTCGTTGTTCTTCTTTACCATTATTTCTACCATTGATTCTGGCCCCACCCACCCCAAATCCCACAAAATCTCGCTTGACATTAGTCGCTTATCTGACGACTCTATTACGTCATGCTATAAGGTACAGAATGTAGACACGCACACCAAGTAAATATCATACTGTGGCAGACCACTGATTATTTGAGCTGACAAAGAGTAAACATCCCAAACCCTATAGCTGTTTACCCGAGATAGGGGAACGTGTATTTGTATATGACATGTTATATTAATCAGCCAAGTTTCAAGCCCGGCGCACACTGTCACCGTGAAGCTAAGCTATCGACCACCCAGAGTCAGTAGCTCGTCTCGTTGCTCGCTTGTGTGCTTAAAATGCCGGCGATCACTTCAGAAGAAACCGAATTAAACGTGACCCTTAGGTAAGCAAACAGGATGAAAGATTACCCAAATTCCGCAAATCTGTCAGCTAAACTCCTGCATGTTTTTTTTCTTTTTTTTTTTTTTAATTTATTTTTCAAAAATATTGAATGATAGCATATCAATTACGTGAACCAGTGTGAAGACTTCCAGATGTGTAACGTTACGTGACGAGATTGTCACACTCACTGTTCTCTGGGGAGTAAAGAATGCTTACTTTCTTGAGAGAAGATACTAAAAAAAATTAGATGCATGGCTCTTTTTGTTTTATGCGGTTAAGGGAAGATATTAAAACAAAGTATGTGCTTTTTTAAAGAGTAAAACAAATGATTGCATTATATATGCGATGGTTTGTGGCTTACTTTCATGCTTTCTAGAAGCAAGAGACAGCATAGTAAACGCGGAAATAATTGATTAAAATGGGAAATTGCGCCCGTCGTATTTCGTGACTTAGACAAAAGTGGCTGCATATCGACATATACCCTCTTCTTCTGTATATACAGCCTTAATCAAGGCAATCTTTCTGACTCTTTACACCTATAGGGTATATTCAACCATAGGAATATGTCTACGATATATTTCCATGTTTGAACTAAGTTGTATACTACAGCAATGCAGTCTGTACCGGTTCTTTTTGAAACATGTTAGAACAACTCCATGCCTTGGCTTTTGCTTAAAAGAATAATCCAAACGGAGTCTCAACGTTCTTCTTGTAACTAACTAAACCTGACAGCTGATCTGCTTGTGAAGGGAATAAAACTTCCTGTAGCACGTTTACACGTTATGGCCTCCTAAATTATACCAGTAAAAAACTATGTATCCTATGACTGTGAGATTGCGGGAAATAGTATATGTGGAGCTCTAGATACCGTGTTACAGTATTTCACACAACATTGCCAACTTAACAAGTTTCGTGTGCCGCTTTTGTATTGCTTTATAAGACATTAAAGGCATTTCGCTGGCGCACAAAGTTTCAATAGTGCGGATTGTAATCAAGCGAGTTGTTACACAGCTTGTTGTTCGCGCACCGAACTGTGAACACGCAGACACTTTTCTGTAAAGCTGCCAACATCTACCAGTACCATAGATTAATTATGCACACTTTTCTCCTGCTCTAGAATCGTGTGATGTATTAGCCAAAGACATTTATATGAATATCTAGTGAAAAAAACAATCTGTCATCCTGGTAGAAGGTATAAATTTGACAAACATTTTGAGCTGCAGATCCAGTCAGATACGATCCAAATAACACAGTGTAAACGCTCCAATTCATTTCAGACTTCTGAATAACAGTTTTACTTGCATGTTCCTTCCCAATAAATAATATAAGAAGTCCAGTTATATAAGCTAATTGATTTATGGGGATATCTGTGCGTATGCTAACAGCGACAGTGCATGACAATTCTGCATAAATCTATTTTTACATAGTAGCTGAAGAAACAGACAACCGTCTTCTCGTGAATGGTTAAAGTAAGAAAAATGAAATGTACTGTAAAATTAACTTCTGTGACAATGCAGAAAACTGTAGAATCGTATACTTGTTTTGTCAAAAGTTTGATAAATTGACTGAAGCTAGTGTTTACCGGCCAATGTTCAGTCTGCTTAGAGCCGGACTTCACCAGGAAATTAAATAGTTGTGACAACCTATCCACCCTATAAACTGGTGTAAAATTCACTACTGTTTCGGTATATTTCCCAAGTAATTGACAATATAACTTTCCAACGTTGTAAACTGGACCATGAATATTGAAAATAATTCAACTGATCCACGTGACGCTAGCACAAGGAGTTTCAAACTCTTTGGTTAGCATGACAAACAGTGCAATATTTTCATTATAGCACGGTCTTATCTTGACTAGTGATAACCGCGTTTCTCTCTCTCTCTCTCTCTAAAGTGTTATGGAATCCTGCAGCCTGACAGTGCATACCAAAATTACTTACAAATAGCACACCAGAGGGGGTGACAGGTTGTCATACCTGTCACAACCTCATTCCCTGATGAAATCTGACTGCAAGCAGATGAAATATTGGATGGTAAGATCAAACTAATATAAATAGCTATAGACAAAAGAATCTTCACAAGTCTATTACAATAACATAGCTAATGAAACTGTTCTACACAAAATTACTTCGTTATAACAACACAGCAATCTTGAATATGTGTGACACGTAGATCGAGTAACACCACCCTGATGTGTTGAAAAGTTAAGAATATTAAAATTAAAAAATGACAACAGATTATTTGAGCGTGGGATTTCATGATACCACAAAAATATTTATCCAGTTGCTGAATCTGAAAACGATATATGCCTAGTATATATATATATATTAATTGATAATCAAACCAGTTATGGAACAAAGTATCAAACTTATTATTCCTGTCACGGTAATATCAAAATGCAGGGTTCTTCCGTTTGATGAATACAAGCACGCATTTCTTTTAATGTCTTCACTGTATATTTTCATCTAAGGGAATGTGTACAAGTCTAACTGACCTTATTCTCATACTATGTCTCACATATAACTCTTATTAGTAGTTCGATTTTATTGTCCGTGTGTTTTTAATGAAAATGAGAGGCGAGACTTCATAAAATGACATAATATTTTTGATATTTTAATGGGAAGGACAACAACTTGACTCCAGGGGGATAAATCTAGCCCGTAAGCCGATCCTAGGTATCTTAATCGGGCCAAATCTAATTTTCTTCGAGGAAAAACTCCAAACGATCATTGTTCGACCTGTAACTGTACTTAAATTCGATGCTATGTGGAATTTCTAATCAAACTGCTTAGTTTGAAACGAATTATAATACATCTAGACTGCTATGCTATGCCTTCCTGTGCAATTCAATGGGGAAAGGCGACATCGGGTATTTTTATTACAAAGATTTTGTCCTTTATTAGGGCTGGATTAGGAAAGATGAATAGTTTTGCGTGGGATTTAGGCACAAACACAAAAATGACTTTGGACCATTTTCAAATACAAAAAGTACACCTTTAATCGGATGTCTCGAATCAAGATCACTGTTTTTAAATCTAGGAATGAGTGGAGATAGACATCCACTTATGTACAACAAAGGCGGACAAGATGACGGCTTGTACGGTGCCACATCCGAGGTAACATCTGGGGGTAAAGATGAGTTTTAAAAGAGTTCATTCTCTGGTCACAGGCATGTAGCTAGCCATTTCCTACATGGAGGGTTGGTCCTTTCGCCAACCTTCCGTGACTTCATACAGCGTTGAGATCAAATTTTTAACTCAGAGCGGAAATTTTCCTACCCAAAAGGCCGTTTGTTTGTTATCCCCCGAACCATCATGCCTACAGGCCTCTGTTAGGCTGCAGTCGCAATCAAGTTAACTAGTTTATCCAGGGGCTAACTAGTCCGTGGATCAAATATGGCACGCGCTTGACAATGGATTCCTTCCTTCCACACACGCCTTCCCAGCAGGGATAGGGCAATTAAATTTTGACACTTCCGTGTTGGTCGCGCCATATTTGATTCGCAGATCAGGTAGTCCGCAGTTCTGAATGCGCCCTTAGTGGTGGTGGTGGTGGTGGTTATGGCGGTGGTGGTGGTTGCGCTGTCTTTGTTCAAGACCAGGAAGTGTTGACTTTACTCTGATCTTCATCGTTAAAATGGATTTTTATTCATTGTTATGAATGAATATTGATTGGATGTGGGGACGAATCCAAGAAAAATTAATAGCGTCTATGGAAGACAATTACCAATCGTGTTTCTGCACGCTTTGGACTATTGCATGTGTTGTTGTTTAGGTTGTGTTGTTAGTTGGCATGCTAGCGCATGTGACCTTTTGTTTTTTATATATCTCTTTTTTCATCCTTTGACTCGAATTTCACAGGTAAATGCATGTCTGTGCTGAATGCATTATGGAATCATTTTAATTTCACGCTGTTTGTAATATAACCTACCAGTTATTAATAACATTATACCCATGATGGAAACGGAGTAGTTTGAACCGATTGTAGATGTGAAATGCGTGGATTGAAACCTGTATCTGATATATTTTCTTTATTACATTCAACGTACATTCAACTCGGGAAACTTGAAAGATTTGTATAAACATTGTCGAACAATTACTTTCGTTTTAGAGAGATACTCTGGACACAATGTCAACGGAGAGTGTGGAATTAAAAGGCGTTAAGCACAGTGAGGACTATGAAAACCCCGCTTTCGCTCACTCCCAGGAAAGTATTGCCAAGTCCGATGTGGAAGCCGGGAATGGTCACACGATCAAAAATCACGCATATGAAGATGTGGTGAGTAGATCAGGTGTTTTTGTTTTAAGAGATAATTGTTCATCCTACAATTTCTTTGAAAGGAGAATTTTGGTCGTGTATTGATAATTTTTTGCTTTATTTCCAAAGCCACAGTATTCTCTCCTCTTGTATCCAAACTCGTTTTTCTTCTAATAGTACAACGTAAACTAAGAGGACACCATATAAATACCAGAACAAATACATTTTTATCAGACACCTGAAAAAGTTGGACCAAATGTCGTCGACGCCGGAATGGTATCCACCCCTATAGCTGGAGACGGAGACACGCCCCAGACAGACGGGGACAACGAATTCGAGGACCTGGAGGAGGAACCGCCCAACGGGTTTTACCGCGGAATAGCGGCCATACAGGAGTCATTTCAAGCTGCTTACAGACAGAGTGGTCATATATTTTGGTAAGTGTGACATTTCATATGCGGTATTCGAATGATGTGGACTGTTTGCAAATGTGACGCGGAAGCTATTTCTAGGAGTTAGTGTTTGCAATGCATCTTGGTAGTTTTTGTGGGCTTTTTTTAAAATATGAAATGGTTTTGAACGAATCTGCGAAAAGACAAACATAATGAAGTCATTCAGAACACAACTTTACGTGTTTTTATAAGTGTGTGACATATTAAACATCATTGTATGTGTGTTTTGTGTACATGTATGTGCGTGCTTGCATATGTGCGTGCACTCGTGCCTGCATGCCTTCGAGTATAAAAAAGAGAAAATAATTACATCATGTAACTCTGTTTTAGGTGGGTGATCTATGCCCTATTCCTGCTAGGCTACTTGGTCTACTTCAGCTACGCCATGTACTACCGTTTTGGTGACGAGGGGTCGGTGCGCCTTCTTGTTATCACCATAATAACTGTGGTGCTGGTGGCGCTAACGATCGTCATGTCTGTCCTCGGTAATAACGTGGACCAAGTGGGGGAAGCGCTGGCTAAATTCGGAGAAACCAGAGCGTGGAATGTGATTAAGATGTGAGTATTTAGAGACAATACTTGGGTTTAAAAATTCTGACAGTTCATTTATTTTTACTTTTTGTAGGTCATTCTTTTAGCTTTGAAATTCATGTCGATAGCCATGTTCTTGTAATATGTTTAAATTTATAAGGTTGACTCAGTCATTATAAACAGCGACCATCTTCCTATGTGTCCTATTTAAATTCAACATCAGGTTCGCTCCAAAAAACTTTAAAGGAGTTAAAGTGTTTTCAAGAGGTGTATGTAAGAAGCTGTGGATGGCAAAAATAACCAATTTGGGGATTTCAAACCCATGGAGTGTACCTTAAATCAGGTAAAATTACGTTTATAAACACACCAAACTTGACATTCAATTAATTTCCTCCTACCTGATTACCACATTAACTTTTCTCCACAGCGTGTTGTGTGTGCTGTTACTGGTGGCCCTGGTGGTGTACATAGTGGTAGAGGTCGCCATACCGAATCCATACAACCTGGTGTCCATCACTGGGATGTTAGTCTACATTATCCTTCTCTTCGTCTTCTCATCCAACCCTGCAAGGGTAGGTTTTAGGACAATTGAAGAAAACACTCAAATGAGTTTCAGCTTTTCAAAGAAGAAAACAACTTCTGGTAGTTTTAAAATACCGTTTGATAAACGTAGTCTTGTTTATCAATATTTGTTTAATACGTTTGGAATTCCTTATTTCTTTTTACTGTGGAAGTTTTAAACATTGTGCACGGCGCACGGGTCATTATAGATGTATAGAAATTAAAGAAATAAATTATGATTATTATTATCATTATTATTATTATTCACAGGTGAAGTGGCAGCCAGTAATCTGGGGTATGGCACTACAGTTTATCTTCGCTCTCCTTATCCTAAGAACATCCTGGGGTTATCAGGCCTTTAAATGGCTAGGGGACAGAGTGACAGAGTTTCTGGCTCATTCAGACGCTGGTGCAGGATTTGTGTTTGGTTTTGACACCTACGAGCACCATTTCTTTGCATTCAAGGTAAGACTGCAACGTTGCTTATGTTTTATGTATATCTAAAGCGCTTAATTAAGCTTTCCATTTTAAGCTATCAATCCATTTTTTTAGTATTTATTAATAAGCAGCAACACCTTCACGCAGGGAATGACACAATATATCGATACCGTGTGTACAGTCAGTGGAGCAGGAAAAATGCTTCAGTCTCAAAGGGAATAGTGTTGGTGCGGAAATCCGGCATGGAATACAATCTAGAAAAACTTCAAAAGACATTTACTAATCGTCAGTATTTAAAATTTATCTAGTGCTAATATATATTATTTTTAAGACATTATTTTTCCCTTCAGGTTCTCCCTGTGGTGGTGTTCTTCAGTACAGCCATATCAGTGTTATATTATCTCGGAGTGATGCAGGTGGTGATCAGGAAGGTTGCCTGGGTGATGCAGGTTTCCATGGGAACGACCGCGGCTGAATCTCTGAATGCTGCAGGGAATATTTTCATTGGCCAGGTATGTATTTTCAATGACACCACAGCTTCGACAATAGAATGGTTATACTTGCACAATGAATTAATTTAGAGTCATATAAACAATATGTGCATATGAATAGCATGTAATGGCCTAAAATGTAACAGGTGACTTTCATAATCGATACGTTTTATCCAACCGGGCCTGTCTAGATCTGATACAAGAAACAATGGTTCTGCCCTAAAATAAGATTTAATTGAAAACATTCTGGTGTGTATTAATTGGTTTTCAATTTTTTGTCTTGGTGAGGAGGCTTGGAATACTAGTAAATTCGGGATCTTAATGTAATATTATACCAGTATAAATCAGCTGCCCTGTCTCTGGTTAAACTTTCCTCTGAATGAATCACGTGGTGTTCACTTTCAGACCGAGGCCCCCCTTATGATCCGTCCACTGCTTCCAAATATGACCAAGTCTGAGATGCACGCTGTGATGACTGGGGGGTTTGCCACGATAGCTGGGAGTGTACTGGCGGCTTATATATTATTTGGTGTGAGTATGGCAATGTATGAAATATGATTTTTAGTGAATGTAAACGACACGGAATTCTCAGTTTGTGATATACAGTTAATGAATGTTGACATCATATAGGACTATAAGACTGCATATACTGTTAAACAAACAAAACCACAAAAATTAACATAAATAGGCTATGATGGTCATAATGATATATTCGGATATATTGATATATTGCTGTAAGCTCTAAGCATTGAATAAACGCCAAGAAAACAAGACATACAAGCAAATATAACTGTTACAATAGTAATATTACACAAACAAATAAATAATAAAAATAAATAAATAAATAATATTAGTAATATATCGATGTAGGTCCCAGCCAATCACTTGCTGTCTGCCTCTGTGATGTCGGCCCCAGCGGCCCTCGCCATGGCCAAGTTATTTTATCCAGAAACTAAAAAATCCAAAACAACTGCTGCGGCCGTCAGTGCTATGGAGAGACCGTGAGTATAGTCAACGTTACACATTTTTTTCTATTGAGTCAAAATAATAAAAGAAACCAGGTATCAGAATGGAAGTTTCTTTCCCAAGTAAATTGTATAGGAATCACTAATTGAAGCCCTAAAACAAACGATTTCAAGGAGGATCACCAGCACAGACTTCTCTTCATCATTTAAAATCATGGTGTTTATTTCAGACCAGAGAGAAACATCATCGAGGCTGCTTCATCCGGGGCTTCATCGTCCATCAAACTGGTCGCCAACATCGCCGCCAACCTGATCGCGTTCCTTGCTCTCCTGGAGTTCGTGAACGCCACGCTGAAGTGGTGTGGACATCGCGTTGGGCTTGAGCCTCCATTGTACCCAGAATTAACATTCCAGGTAATATTTAAAAAAAAAAACGGTTTTATGGTCTATTGGTAAGACCCGATTAGAGACTAAATTACGAAGAAGGTCTTGCCTGACTTTTCATCACCACCATTCACACAATGATAATAAATAAATAAATAAATAAATATAATAAGATGGTGGATCTAAAGGTCGGGTATGGCTTGCGTTTTTTAGTCTGTAAATCAAGAATGATTTTGTTTCATCTGCCCCAAAAGTTGTAAAGGTAGCCCGCCCGTTTGATCATACAGTTTCCGCTCTATCAGTTTATGATTTATATGTTTAAGTTTGAAAGTTGAAGGGACGCTTTTTATTGTTTTTCAGAATGGCTGCTTGGCATTTATATCTGCTTTGCATATTGCAGTTTCAATGTACTATGTTGAAGATTTTTAAAACTATATAGATAAATTTAAAAATGTGACAATGAACTTTCTGTTACTCACGAGAAAAAACAAAAAATGAAGGCCACTTTCACCAAATTTGGAATTTAGCTAAGCTATGTTTGCAGAAGGGTAATTAAATTATTTAGAAAAGGGTGTCGCTAATTTTCCCTTCGCTAGCTAATGAAACTATTTTCTCCTCCACCGATTCTCATATCTTACAAATAACAAAAAAATGTTATTTTTTGTTTCAGTTGATTTGTTCTTACCTTTGGTGGCCATTTGCATTTGTCATGGGAACCGATGCACAAGATTGCCGCAAGGTGGCAGAATTGATTGGAGTCAAGACGTTCCTCAACGAATTTGTCGCCTATGATTACCTTGGCAAACTCATCAAGAATAAAGAAATATTCCAGAATTATACATCGCACAATTACACAGAACCCCCAGAGTACATATTCGACGACATCTTTTTGCCGGCTACAAACCAGACGTTAGTTGGTGGCTTCCTAACAGTAAGTAAATTATTGATTCTTCATTTGTGTGAAGGATGCTTTTATTGCTGTTAGAGACAAGAGAATCATAATAATTTAAATACACACACGTTTTCGTCAAAATCACTTAAGTGTAAAGGCAAATGAATCCTTGTTATCACTGAATTAAAATGTATGGACATGAATAATTCTGTTACTTTCAAAGTGTGGAACATCTGAATTAATATTATGCAGCATTTCAGATAGGGTGTTTATTAGAAGTTAATTCAAAGGAGCGATATTGCACCTTTTGAAGATGAAATGTTATGCCAAATTGCCTGGGCAAAGCTTTATACCACTTTGAAACTAGAGAAGATATTCCATTGTACTTGTAGCTAAATCGACACTCCACTCCGTGTATAATTGTTACCACGACGCCAGCTACTTGCATAATTGGCATACAACCAACCTCATTTTGCATTCATTTTTAGCCTCGTTCTGAAGTGATAGCAACTTACGCCCTCTGTGGATTTGCCAACCTGGGTTCCATTGGCATACAGCTTGGAGGTCTGGGTGCCATGGCTCCCAGCAGAAAGAGTGACATGGCGAAGATCGTGGTGCGCGCCATGATCGCAGGCAATGTGGCATGCTTCCTGACGGCCTGCATAGCAGGTTGGTCGCTCGTTTGAATAACCGCGCGCTGGGTCACGTGACAGGCTTGAGAATATTACCCCCTCCACTCTATCCCACCTCTTTGGCTTTTTCCTTTTGTTGATGGAAATTTTCCATTTGGTTCTGGAAAACCTTAAAACATTGAAAATAATTGAGGCACTATTTTGCCTATCAAAACGATACTCTTCACCATCTGTCTACTGTTGACAGTGGTAGTTTTTTTCTGGCCGATAGAATTGCCTACAAAATTCATATATATCAAAAATTATATCTGCACTTATCTATCTATTGTAACACGTACAGCAGGGGTGTAATATCCAAGTGACTGTGCAATATCCAGCGCACGTATTCTAAAACGAATATTTTTTTTCTTCTTTTAAAAGCGTCGGTCTGAGGTAATTGCGACGTACGCATTGTGTGGTTTCTCCAACCTCGCCTCCATTGGGGTTCAGTTAGGAGGTCTTGGAGCGATGGCTCCGACGAGGAAAAGTGACATGTCTAAGGTGGTCATACGGGCCATGATCGCAGGAAATGTGGCCTGCTTTTTAACTGCTTGTATAGCAGGTATGACTGGTGGTGAAATATCGCTTTCACTTAATTTGCTTGCCAAAGAGAACATTCTATTGAATAGCAAAGTTTCAATCGTCATTTTGAAATCAGTTTAACTTAAAACGAGACAAAGCCATTTGTAGTAGTCCATAAATGAATTCACTGTTTGATTGAAATATAGCCTCCCTTTGCTTGTTAGTAAAATAATCTCTTTTTTTTTCATTTTAACACCTGATTTATTTTGGTCAAAGTAGACTAAAATATTTGGGTTGAATGTTATTACCAAATCTGGATCTGTCTGGAAAATTCTTTTGGTTCCACGCTTAAGATATTTAACCTGGTGCTACATTATAGAAGTACTTAACCGCCTTGGTCTATTAAACCATCAACGTTTGAACGTTTTCATTTCTCATGGGCTGTAATTCAAGTTCAACTTATTTACGTTCATGGAGGGTTATGGGGAAGACAAATAGTGGTGCCATTTTTACACCCGTAAGATTACGTTTAATAAATGGAATCAAGTAAAATAATTACTTATATTGTCTCATAGTTTCAATGATAATGAATTATATACTTACTTGTCAAGTGCTTTATTACGAAATACACTTATGTCATTGAGTTGATAGATCTATGGTTTTTGTCTACTTTGGATATATGGTTTTAAAACCAGTTATGTAATTTCTCATTAATGTCAGATACTCAAAATGATGCTTATTGTAATTGACTTTTTTTAGGTTTATTATATACGGAGGATACGATAGTTTAAAGCCACGAAAAGAACAAGACACACAGCCAAAAACAGTGCCCGCCTGGCTTGTCCGACCTCAACAAGAAGATGCAATGGCTTTCATGTTTGTCTATGCATGTTTGAATGTAAAACCCCTTTTCTACGGACATCAAGGATTTTAATGGTCGGTTTGTCTGAGCTACGAACTGCAATGTATAGTACATTTATAAAACTAAGGTAGACATTATTGGGGCGTCAGAAATCACCAAATCTGTGACTCCATTTTGTTTTAGACTAACCCAATAACAGATATCATGCACCTTGGAATGGATTATTTCTGCATGATCATATGATTGAAACGAAGAAACTTTGAAAACACTATCAGGACCATAGAAAACCATCAGCATGAGAAATAGTCTTACAACGTTCATTTTCATATATCGCATTTCGTATAATTGCATATTAAATTTAACCAAATGATTTAGATATAAAAACGCATGGTGTGATGTCGACTGTACATTATGATATTGAGCACATGACACATTACTTATTTGAATCGCACAGGTGAAATATATTCATCTTTTATTTCATTTTGTTCATTTAATGCCATTGTTTATACGGGACCATTTACTATGCAATTCCTGCTATCCAAAATGTGCTTTTGCATTGCTTACATTAATGAATTGTTCATTATCATTTTATCGTATATATCATTAGACAATTTTTCTTAAATGCATTTTAAATATATACATTTTTTTGGAATTCGTAAAGATAATATTCATCTCCATCTTTAGCAAGTGAAGGATGTGTGATTTGCACACGGTATGTAGAAAATCAATATATTTTTTGTTTGCAGTAAAAAACAGTCAACATTTTACATGTCGATCATTCATGGATTTATGCATCCCTGTCTTTTCATATTTTAATCCCTGTGATATCTATGGTTGATTTGGTTTCATAGAATTAAATATTGTACAGAAAATGTGTTTATAAGCAAACGATGTAGTTATAACGTTGTAGAGGATATGCAGTGGCCGAGCCGAAATGTAAAGCCCCGAGACATAAATGGAAAAACTCGGGCAGTTTTTTATTCCTATGACCAATGTAGAGAGATGGAGAAGCGGCTTTTGCCTTTTTGTTCAAAAAGAAAAAAAAGCGTAGAGCAGGGGGCTGGGATTATAGCCACATTACATCCATATAGTTTAGGGTTGTAACACAGCCCCTTGTTGATTAGATACCAGTCCAAGAATATATCTAAAAAAAATCATTCCCTGATATATTTTTTTAACCACAGAGACTTATGTATATTGTTTTTAGATAATTATTTTCTACTTGATTGTATGTATACTGTATAAGAATATTAAACTTTGACCATGTTTTATATAATATGAGAGTAGCACGTCGACGGTTAAAAATGTCCATAGTAGAAAGAAGATTATTGTTACATTCGTTTCATTTGTGTCAATTTTAAGATATTTATGTACCCGATAGTTTCTAATAAATTTAAATGTTTATCCAATTTTAAAGTTTTTTTTATTGTGTCATGGGTAGTATTGTGTTGGCAGTGTTGAAAAACTCATCTATTTAATGGCTTGTTCAAACTGCAAGGTGAACGTGGGTTGACTCCCTTTGTGATCACGGAAATGATGCTGAATTGGTAGATTTAGAGATAAGGGGTAAATATCACCTGTTCAACGTAGAATGTATAAGGGGATGGACAATGGATCCTTAGTTTGCAGCAGGCTGTTCTTGTCACAATAAAACCGTTTGAAAATTACATGCAGGTATAAGGCGTACACTACACAGTTATCTTAGATTTCCAAAGCGGTGCACAGCTGCATGCGATATCAACCCGTTCTAGACCAAGGAATGCCAGAGCACCGACATTACTGTAAAAATATATACAGGTAGTATACTACTCTAATGAGCTCTTATAGTAAAGTACTAAATAAATGAAAAAAATCCACCACGCTGCAGTACCTCTATACAGACGCACGGATGCATACACATAATAATTGTAGATAATGTCGAGATCAATCCAATACATAAAATGGAATTATACAGTAATCACCTGGAAAACTGTCCTAGGCCCGGTGTGCACTTCACAGTTCCTATATGCATGTATTTGGGGACTCTAAAACAATCAACACTTAAGACGACAGCTCTCTGTATTTTACTAGGTACTAGTAACAGTTTTACTTATTTTCCTCTTTTTTTTTACTTATGTAGGCCCTATAAAGCCGTCACAACCCTTTTTAGGAAATCGGTGCCAGTATGTTCTAACAGTTGGTTTGGTTTTAGTATTTCCAGGAAAGCTGTAGTCGGGTGTTGTACCTCTGATTAAGGTGGTTTGTAACAGAAAAATATATGTGTGAATTGTATAGGATTTCTCCTAGGTAATCATCTTAATTATATTTCATAACCGTATTGGACACTTACATTTTAAGAACTTTCAATCTGGATGGACTCGGCAACAGAGTAAAAATGCCAAAATAAATTACACCATGTAATTAAACCCCAATTCCAATTATATATCAAAAATGTTATTTTTTCTTTAATACATTTATTTATATCTCTGCCGCATAAAAGAAACCCCACATTGACTGCTTTCGAACTTGTACCAATATTAATACCGGTAATAATCATTCTCTTTTTCCAACCAAACACATATCAAATTGGAAGAGCTGGTTAAAATCAGTAATCTCTGGTATATTTTAATCATTTAAAAGATTTCAAAGATAGAAATGCATGACTTAACGTACATTCTGAAAGAATATCATTGACCGCGAAGTCATCCAAGCATGCAAAGGTATCATACACATTTGATTAACTTACTGATTGCTCAGTTATATTTTCAATCCCACAGTAAAAGTAAATACTAAGGGTCTAAACTGTATAGAATTAGTTTGACCTTTTTTATTTACTAGTTAAATAATTCATGCACTTTGTGTCTTTTCGCGGCAATTCCATTTACGGCTAAAGTCATATGTCCAGGACTGTTAACCTAGCTAAGACAGCACGTGTTTTTCCATTAAAGAAATACATTATAAGATAAAGGTTTATTTATCCACAAATGTGTAATTTAATACAATATAATGTACATTTTCGGGAATCAATTGCTCTGTAAAGCATCGTTGTATTAAAAATGAGTGTTAAAGCTGTATTAATAAATAAGATTCGACTATGTATTATAAGTTATGAGACGGTTAGTAACTGTCACTCTAGATAGACACTGTTTTATTTGCCGCCCTCTCAAAATTAAAATATTCAATAGGAGTTAGATCTGTCCATATCGCCTCACTAACTTCTCCAGTTTGCTTTCTTCTTCTACAGTTGCACGCCCATACTATACACTAAACACATAAAATACTTTCTACATCACAACTGTTTTCAAGACCAAAGCATTGTCTGGTCATTATCATGAATAAGACCGAGTAGTATTGGACCGTCGGCAAACTTCATTAAAATGTGTAATCTTCAATAGTAACACAATCGTAAGAGTAACATATACTGAATCATTTGTACTTAAGTTGTTTATCTTATGATATCTTTACTATTATAAATGAGCAATGCCACCTCAAATACAGATGCATTTCAACTGAAACACACACGCACACACACACAAGTATACAAGAGATTATTACAAAAAAAATTAGAATCTGGACTAACTTTGAATGACGCAATGGATTCATTAATCCCTGGTAAGTATGCAAAAATTGCCGTTTACACAGGGAATTTTTGTCCAGAACGAACGGTTATTATTCGTGAGGTGGGTGTTTCAAATGTTTTAATAAAAAAAAAACATTAACTATTATACAGTAAGGCTTGAGTGTAACGTTTGCGTACACATAATTTAAATTCCCTGCCAATGAAAAGAAATAATAATAATAATAATAATAATAATAATAATAATAATAATAATAACTAGACTGCAACTGGCTAAAGCCAGTGGCGGAGGATTCCCCTGCAAAATAGGTGTGGAAATGCTCTCACAAGGTCATGTGAAGGTCATGGGTTAAATTTGACCCCGTATTCTGAAAGGCCATGTGCAAATTGGGGGTGGGGGATCAACAAAACATCAATTTTAGCCCACTTCCATATTTCTCCATGAAATAGCCGAATGACCTTGAAAATGAGGGTCAAGGTCAAATTTGACATTTGATTTAAGGGTGTTGGGTATATGTTTGGGGTAGTTTACTATAGCATGTTATCACAAAAAATCAGGATTTCATGGAGAAATTGACAGTCACTATTTCTGTGAAATTATTAATATTTAAAAATCTATATTAAAAAATCTAATCAGTCAATTGTCAATATTATTAGCGACTGCACTGGATAGATATCTAGGGCAACTTTTTACGTCATCTTTGTGGCTCTGTGACATCTGGTTTACCCCCTGCCGAATGCCAACCACTTAAAGCATATAGTGCAATAAGTTGACCTTGACCTCACCTACTTTTCCTATTAGGTCACATGATATAAAATCATTGTGTCATCTCACCTTTAAAAGGATATGTCAAATTGTTGAAAATTCTAGGAGATATTGCATTTTGAAATTTGCAAAATTTTCACTTTAAAAGGCTCTGTGACCTTGAAAAGTATGTCAAGGTCAAAAAAATTGGGTGGACCGGAGTAACTTTTCATAGGCTATCAGTATGAATTTTTTCAGAATTTTAAAAAGAAATTTTTTGACGAAAAATAATAATAATAATAAGAAGAAGAAGAAGAAGAACAGGAAAAACAACAGTATTCCCCTATGGGGAATCCTAATAAAAATAATAGTAAAAATAACAATAAGAACAGGAAAAACAATAGTATTCCCCTATGGGGAATCCTAATAATAATAAGAAGAAGAATAAGAACCGGAAAAACAATAGTATTCCCCTATGGGGAATCCTAATAATAATAAACATTGTAATTTTATGCCCATATTTTACAACTACTAGCATGGCTTACTATCCATTAATCATTTATCAATTAATATTAATGCACCTGTAGAAAGTGTTAGGAAATTCCAAATTAACCCCAACTGTGTTTACTTAATG